GGGACCCCCTCACCTGCCGGCAGAGCGGCTCCCAGTAGAAGACGAGGGAGGCGAAGGGATTGGAGTCCTGGTGGGAAGAGGATCCCGGAATTCCAGATTTATCCCAACATTTCCCTCCCCCAGCCCTCGGCAGTTCCAGGAATTCCAAATTTATTGGGATTTATCAGGATTTCTGGGGATTTATCGGGGTTTATCAGGGTTTACTGGGATTTCAGGGGTTCCCCAGCCCTCACCAGCTCCAGGATTTATTGGGGTTTATCAGGATTTCGGGGGGTTTATCAGGATTTTGGGGGGTTTATCAGGATTTCAGGTGCTTTTGGGGGTTTTTGGCTCCCCAGGCCTCACCAGCTCCAGGATTTATCAGAATTTATTGGGGCTTATCAGGATTTTGGGGGGGTTTATCAGGATTTTGGGGGGGTTTATCAGGATTTTGGGGTGCTTTCGGGGTTATTGGCTCCCCAGGCCTCACCAGCTCGCGGCCCTTCCTGCTCTCGTAGTTGGTGAAGAAGCGCAGCCCGTCCGGGCCCAGCCCCTTCAGCAGCACCATGCGGGCCGAGGGCCGCCCGTCCCTGCGGGGACACGCGTGTCACCTGTGTGTCACCTCAGTGTCACCTGTATGTCACCTGTGTCATCCCCTGGGTGTCACCTGTGTCATCTCAGTGTCATCTGAGTGTCACCCATGTCACCCCCTGTGTGTTCCTGTGCCACCTCCTGTGTGTCACCCATGTCACCTGAGTGTCACCCGAGTGTCACCCATGTCACCTGCTGTGTGTCACTGCCATGTCACTTGTGTCACTCCCCGGTGTCTCCTGTCTCACCCCCGGTGTCCCCTGCGGTGTCCCCAGTCCGTCCCCGGTGTCCCCCCAGCGGTGTCCCCGGTGTCCCCCCCATGTCCCCGCCGTGTCCCGGTGTCCCCGCGGTGGCACCTGCCGCAGGTGGCCAGGCACACGGCGTTGGGCTCGGCGATGTCCGGGCACTGCAGCGCGTCCTGCAGCCACGCCCGG